TCTGAGCTGTTTTATAAGTAACTGTACCTTTTACTGACATGAGTGCTTTACGTTATCAACAGTAAAAGTGCCATCTTGTATATGCCTAAGAAAATAATTAGGTTAATAGTTGAACTGTCTTCTCTGGTTGGAAGAAATCTCGGCAGACTCGACGACTTCCAGGAAACGAGTCTGACACCCCTGCTTTAACTCTTTAACTTCAGTTTGCCCATTTGGAGCTCCTGGGGGGATGGGTTGTCAGGAAGCCAAAGTTAAGTTGTGTGTTTAAGCACAGATTTCCCCTTCTGGGCAAATTGAGCTTGATCTCTTTAGTGTCCCAGAATTTACATGCATCCTTACATCTCCTTGCAAGCCCTGGTAGCAGAATTCCATGTGGCTGTGTGATCCGTACTGACAAAATAACAACAATTCCCATGGAAGGTCCATCCAGAAGGACATTTTTGTGGGTTGACGTTCTGGATATGGGGAAAAGAAGAATTAATACATGATTTAACTTCAGCGACAAAAAAAGCCAGTCTCACAAGGAAAACACAACTGAATAACTGGTTTTACCTTATTAATAGACCTTGTTTAGAATATATAGAAAGTAAATTTGTCAATAGAAGTTTCAATTTTGAGAATGTAGTTTGCTACAGAACTGATTATAGAAAGTAGCCTGGAAGCAAATAAATACCAATCGCCTATTAGATGTATCTATGCCATCCAAGGCTGGTTAAACTGAACTCAATAATTACTTCATCAGCTGGATTCCAGGGTTTCCAAGAAATCCCATCACAGCGGAAGAGCTTGTGGACAGTCTGATCAAAGTGTATAAGTCCTATTTGTTCAGGAACACAGGCTTTGGGGAAGAATCTGGCTCCACCACCCTGTAAAGAGACAACTAAATTTGATCAGGACTATTTACACTATGTGGGACTTCAATTTGTAACATGCAGACTGCAGTCTATAAGTAGAAAAGGCCTTATCTTCCTTAATTTCCTTTCTTCACATGCAGAGTATTTTATCCAGAGTTCATCAGAATGAATGCTCTAGTTTGTAAACAAAGTGAAAATAAGCAAACATCCCATGCACAGTTAAATAGATGTTTAGGAGCACATTTAGCTTATACATAGGCTTGGTGTGAGTTTTGGAGGAAGTGTGTTGTTTTAGAAATTGTCACGTTTGTAGTGACTCATGATTCTGTCTTTGTCTTTGCTACTTCCGAATTCCCATAGTGGGTGTTGTCTTTCCATACCTGCTGTGTGAAGTAGGTTGGAGTTTGGACTGGATTTAGAACCGCGTTGCTTCCTGTAGAGACAATGGGATGTTTCTGCTGCCCTCTCCTGGTCACTAGCACCTTAGCTTTTCTGTCAGTGCTGGAAGGAGAGGTCTCATCCTCCACTCTGAGAGACATTATTCCGTGGTACTAAAGCAAACAGAGGAAGACGTCAGGTAATGATAGGGTAATTCAGTGCTGTAATTGCCTGTCATTATTTTAACCTTCTGTAATTGTCATTTGTTGTGACTTCATTCAAAACATACTTACTAAAGACCATTTTACACCAAGCTTGTTCTAAGAGAATGAAAAAATAATGTGTCAAAGTGTTTTAAGCTTCAATCTAATGTACAGGTCAGTGATCAGGCGACCACTCTTCCATTCAAAGAGTCCTTGGTGACATGAAAAAAAGATATCTAACGACGTCTTTGAGACAGAGAGAGATTCTGTGAGATCCTCCAAGACAACAACATGTTGGGATTGCAAAGTTATTAACAACTATATGACAAAGATGACCTGATGGTTCCTTTATTCTTCCTGTTTGTGTGGTTGTTTCAACAAATTCAGTCCTATATAGTTTCAATGTTCTTCCTACCTGCATGAAGATATATACTCTTATCTACATTTAATTTAATTTCCATTCCTGTTTACAGTCAAACTGTTTCTGCAACACATTTGCTCATTTCAAATGGTTTACCTCACTTTTGTGTAATCTGCAAACATAACAAGATTCCATCTTGTTACAAGTTTTTACATTTATGCAATGAAGAACTCAAGGTTCACATCATGATAGTATTCATTCCTTCGCAGCTTCATTGCCATTGAAACCAAAAGATCAACACTGTGACTTTTCCCACCTAACATTCAGAGATCAGCCTTTTGTCACTGGAGAATAGGAGTGCATCCACTCCATCTTTCATTATTTACTGCTTGGTTCGTAGCCAAGTGTGCAAGCTAAAAAGGCATATCCTGGAATCAGGAATCAGAGAATATCCTCCATCTGTTTACTTCATGATCTTTACAGTGAGCATATGGGGAATATCTGGCATTGTTCCTCTGTTTTACTGTTGCCACCACATTTGAAGTTCAGCCAGTGCCACCTTGAAGGAGCTCTGCTAATTTCCTCAGGGTTTTAAATAGTCAGGAAAGGAAAATGAAAAGGAAAATAAGCACTACAAAGAAAATGACGGAAATGAAGACAATCGCCTTCACTTTTCAAAACTCCTCTGCATTTTCTTTTAATTTCAGTTCTTACCATTTAGATTTTGTTGTGAAGAAATGTTAAAAAATATCTATTTTGCTTATGTTTAAAATGGTATATACCAAATTAACTAACTTTTATGAAAAAAGGGCAGATCCGCTCTGTTCCATAGTGTACATGGCTGAGAACAAACCACTTGGGCCATACTGGAACTGTGTAGTGGTAACTTACTCAACATAAAGCTCATATGATAAGTCTAAAATGAGTAGAAACTCAGCAGGATTTAATTCAATAAAAAATGTAACTTTGGTATAGAAAGAGATAAATGGATTTCCCCTGCTTTTGGTAATCAGACACATTCTGAATACATTTCTTCTTCATCCAGCTATAAAGACAGTCTCTTCCAATTTCCAAAAATTTATTAATTTGTTAATTGCGTTACACATGGTATACCAATTTTTGCCAGTTTTAGGATTAAGAACACTAGCTAATTAAATGAAACATTTATTTAACAAAATAACCTCACCGTAAATACTAAATCTGTCCCATTGTGATGAACTGATGATGGCTGAACCTGCCAAGGGGAAAAAGAGAGCATTCAGAGATGCAAAGATTCAAAACAGTTTGGTATTTTAAAATTAAAAACATCTTTCAGGGATTTGTTGAGCTGTATACATTAATACAGGACTCTTGAGCACAGTAACCCATTATGGTACAAAGCCCAGCGCCTCACAGTTTTTCCATTTCCGACAGGCCTCAGTCTGGTGTGGGAGAGAGGGGGCTTGTGCTGCTGTGGAACGTCTCCTCTGACCCATTCCACTGGAGCGAGAGGCAGCGTCTCCAGCTGTATGATTCCATGGCTGGGAGGGGGGAGCTCTGAAGAGACAGCGGCTACCTTTCTTCTTAAGCCAGTTATGACTGGAAACTGGTCATTTGTTCTACTGCTGCTGCACTGGCCTGTATTGCAAAAAAGACAACCCTGAGGTATGAAGTGATCATTCATAGATTCAGTGCATCAAATGCATGATACTTTGATTTCTGGCACACCATGTTACCCTCTCTCTTACAAGCAGCACGTCTTCCCTGAAATGTTCTTGTCAGTCCTTTCAATGTCACATCTATGCAATTTAATCTTCTCAGCTCTTGGTTTGGGTCCAAGTTCTCTGTAGAATGGAAAAGTATGTGTCTGGCCTAGCAGGCCCTCTTGTAGAGGAAATAGTACTTTTCTATCTTGTTGAAAATGATTGCCGTCCAGAAATGGGAGAAAGTGAAGCAGTGAAAATATTCCTCCTTCAGACTCTTCCTTGGCATTTTTTTCCCGCCTAATTCTGACTTGCTTACTTCATTCTCCTTTGCTCTGCCTCCTCCCATGCCAGTTCCTTCTTTCTCTCTATCCACCTTCCCCAGTTGCCTGGTCGTACAGTATGTTCCCCTTACTATCCTGCTTCCCTGTCCAGATCATTCTCCTCTCTTGTGCTCCAGTGGCAGTACATCAGCACTGCAGCACATCAGACCACCTCCACAATTCCTATTTCCTACAGAGTGTGGCCACACTGCCTGCAGCTCATACCTCCTGCCTTGCAGCCTGTGAGCTTCTGTTACCAGCACTGTGCTACTTCACAAGTTGAGATCCCTTCCCATATAGCATTTTGCACTGATCTTTTTCACTGTATAACATACAACATTAGGTTCATTGTACCCTATTTATGTTTAGACTGCAATGTGAAATTTTCCATTTATAGTATGTGAGAGTGCAGTAGGTTTAGACACGATAAAGAACCTTTGAGTGAGCCTCTCACAAGGAACTTCTGAGTTTTTCTTTATATTCTGGTCCCAACAGCCATTTTTTCCATTATTTTAAGGTGAGATTTGAGTGGGGAGATGTGTCAGTGTGAGTTGGCTGCAAAGGAACGAATAAAGATTAATTCCACGCTGAGAGGTAGAAAGAAAACATAGTGTTTCAGCTGCTGAGCATTCAGACCTGAAGAAGGCTCAACAGCCGAAATGTTTTTCATTTTGCGTTTCAGCATGGTATTAACCATTATTTGCTATTTTTTTACTTTCACTATACTGTGCAGTATATTGTCCAATGAACTGCAAATAATACAAAAACCTAAAATGCTCTGTGAAAACAACCATGTTTTGCATGACTCCATGTCTTACCTTGTTTTGAATCAATTATTTTCACAACAGCTTTCATGTTTCTGCCCAGAACAGTGCTGGCGGGAGAGGTGAGCACCACTTCAAAGACCTCTTCTCCTTCCTCCAGCTGGTCCTGAGTGATTTCTACCCGCCAAGTCCTGACTGAGACCCCTGGTGGAGCAGAGGAGTATAACAACTCTCTGTCTCCTGAGCTTTGACATGGTGGTTTAAACTAGTCAGTAATATAGTTTACAGAACTGTTGCGGTGTTGGTTTGTTTGTGTTGCTCTGTTTAATAACAATACATTTAAACTATTTAAAAATTTCTTCTGCACACCCAGTTATTTTAGCAGGAGAGAGAACTTTTTGAAAATGTGTGGGGGTTGAGGTTTAAAAAAGTGTAAGACATGAATTTCTTCTCAGGGAGATACATTATTCTTTCTATTTAATGACAAGATATTTCCAAATTATTGATTCCACAAATTATTTTTAGAATATATTTCAGAAACTTCTCCTGTAAATTGAAATCATAATTTAATCTGAGGTATGCAGGTTTGTATAGTGTCTTATGAATTAACAAATCAATTAACATTTCAATGGATTAGATTTTTACAGTTTTCATTTTTTCTACAAAGATGGATATATGTGATATCCATCTTAATATATTCGCTTCCTAGTGAAAAACTAAAAGAGAAACAAACACATTTGAAATTTACCAGGATCAAATTGAGTTAGACTTGAATGGCCAATTATGAAGTCCTTCCCAGCAGATGCTGTGATTTCATTAATCTGAAAATGCAAAACACATATTCCAACTGCACATATGATTTTTAAAATGTAATCTAATTATGACAGTTATAGATATACTCTATATAAATAGACATACTGTACACAATAAATATATTTGCAGGATTGAAATGAAATGTACAAATAAATGACTGAAAAAGAAAAGGAAGTTTTTATCATGTACACAAGATGTAAATGTTTATTTCATTTATTTCATTATTTTTGTCCTTCTTCAGGAATTTAGGGGAAAAAAATGTGAGATACAAAAAAAATCTAGCCCAAATTGATAGTGGAGAGAGAAAATAGCCTGATCAAAAAATTAATGCATTAAGTAAAGAGGAAAAGTATTTTGATGCAAACTTTAATATCAACCTCCAGTTTAGGAAACTGTCAACAACTGAAGCTGTATTTACCTTAACTGAAACAAAAGAGGACTCCCTTGTGTTGCCCTTCCTTTCAATTGTCAATGACATCACACCAACATCTTCACAAACCTTATATTCAGTTTGAGAGAACTCTGTTCTAGACCATTTGAAGTCAAGGCTGCAAGAATTACAGAATTACAGTTTCATTTTAGCAATGTGAAATTTAAGATTGTTAGAAAAAGAACTGTAAAATGAAATGCAGAATGAACTTATAGACTTCAGGAAAACACAGTCTTGAACAGACAATAGTATGAGCGGATCTCATTCGGGTATTCAAAATCCCCAGAGACACAGGTCACTGACAAAGGTCAGTGCAATGGATTTCTTCAGAATCATACTGCTAAACACTAACCAGGGGACAAAAGTGGAAATACTGCAAGGAAGTGCATTTAAAACTTGGGCAACAGGAGGCTTGGACAGGCCATGTTGTTAAAACTGAAATCCTCCCATTAAGAAACAGCTGAATGAGATCCCTGCCTCAATTAGATACTAAAAATATAAAATGAACTAGACTGGATGAATGACCTCCTCACGTTTGTACTGTGAATGTTCTGTTATTTGTACACTTTTTGCAGTATCAATACAATAATTGATAACTTGTCTGACTGGTTAAAAATGATAGAAGAGTTTCTAGAAAAAAATACAAAAAATATATCCCTTACATCTGGGAAGCTCCAGAGTTTCCAAGTGGGTCAGTCACCTGGAACTGCAGACTGTCAGACAGGGCTTCCAGGGCGGAATTGATGATGTACAGTCTACCTTTTCGATTCAAGTCACCCTGACTGAAGCTGTGATGGATGAACTGGCCTTTGAAAGATTAATAAAACCAATAAGACCAACAGTCAGTAGTCTCACCACTACTGATATGTGCTATATCATGGATTTTTAATGTGAAATTAAGCTAAGTCTTTTGTTAAATTTGAATTTGCAGGATGTTTTGATTTGGCTTTGTCCCCTGAGTTCCCTGAGTGGAGCAAATGTAACAAATACCTGAGGAAAGTGGAACATGGGAATTATTTTTTGTTGGTTTTGCAACACTCTTATAAGTTTGAGGGCTTGCTATCTTGAGAAACATTTCTGCACATTTTGAAAAAGCCAGAAAGGTTTCAAACGGTCGATTAATTGATTAATTGATGTCATTATCACACACAAAAATTGGTACCCGATTAAATCATAAACAGTGCACATTGGAGGAAAGGAGATGTGGAACCTTTATAAAGTTAATTGTTTGGTGAGTGTGATGATACAGTATCATAGGATTATAAACAGCTTTTCTTTTCAAAGATTTAATGGGAAATATTCAACTGACAAGAAAGTGATTTCTTCAGCCATTCCACAATCAAAATACAATTAAAGTAAAGTGATTAGACTGTGACCTCTAAGGGTAAAGCAGTTACTGGATTGATGGGTGGGCGTTCTTTGAGTGGGAAGTTGCCAGGTACTATGTATATTTAAACAAACCTGCAGATGTAGTTTTAATCTGAATGACTGCTGTGGTTTTAATTATTTGTTAGTTCCTGCCCACAGCTGGATACTTACTGAAACTATACTGGATGAATTAGGTTATCCTGGGTGAGGAACCCAAGGGAGCACCAATTACATCAAGGACTGTCAATGGTTTGAAAGAGAGTTAGCTAGACTTTCTTAACTTCAATTTTGCCTTGGTACTTTTAAAAGTCCAAAATAAAAATCCTGCCAGAACCATTCAAAAATAGGCCAAAGTTCCTATGTAAACTGATTTGAAGAGGAATCTGTTAACTACCAGATCCGCAGTAACTAGAAAATGTACTCTATCCTGCAGATAAATGAAAATGAAACTTCACTGTTAAATTTAACATTAACTGTTAATGACTGAGAACCAGAATAATAACTGGTGATGCAGAAAAAAAAGGTGGCACCCCTTTTCATGTACTGTAGCATAGGACTTTAACGTTTTGCTGGTTTCCGTTATAATTGGGCCCTAAGTCAATCAAATTTGCATTTGAACTAATGATCTTGCTTGTATTATTAGTTATTTTTCATTTCTGCAACAGCTGGCAATTTTACAGTACAAAGGAATTTCAGATCAATTAAGTGTTCAGTTAATTAGCTAAGAGCTCAACTAGAGCAAAAACTAGCAGACATGTGAGTACTCTACAATTAGAACAGACGACACCTACTCTGACCCATTTCAGCATCAGAGAATGCCTTCATTTAATGATTTTATAAGATCTTACCTGTCGTTGCATTTTCTAGATAACCAAAATATGGACCCTGCAGAATTTGAAAGGTTATGTCCTCGTCTTTTGTGCTAGAATGTGATGCTTTCAGGTCTCTGGAGGAGATATAGATACCATAGCGCCCGTCCTTCAGCTGTTCTGCCTTCCAGAGACAGTGGAGATGTACAATTCTAGGGGCTGACATGTCTGTTTTTTCCACCTAACAAACAAACAAAAATATCTTAATGCATGAGTAGTCTTCCCATGATTGTTATAATGGAGATATTCTAATTCTTTAAAGCAAGGTCATCAAACTCCAGTCCTCAAGGGCCAAAGTGTTTCCAATCCAACCTCAGCTCTCGGTTACCTGACCAAAGTATCTGCTTCAAATTTAACAGTTTTTCAAGGCCTTTCATTACACAAAACCTGCATAGTCTTGTGGGCACAGAGGAATGAGATGTTTAACTAGTCTGCATTTGTTGGTGACTTTTTGTCCTGTGTACTTGTTGGTTTATCATTAGACATACAATGCATAGAAAGTGTGTTTGAGTATTTTACAGCTGATTACTCAAAATTCTGTCTTTCTTTAGGATATAGTTAGTTATTAAACATTTTGGGATGAAGTTAGAAGCACTACAATCAAGTAGTCAATGCAATAATTAGACCAACTATATACTTGAGAGCTCGGGCTCAGAATATTAGGCACCCCAAAGTTGAGTATGATACCCCCTGTCCAAGGTTAGAAGAATCTCTGTCTGAATCAAGCAGAGACAGTTCCGTTTAATTATATGTACTTTATGTATTAGTCAAATGTCTTTGCCTTAGTTGTTTCAATACCTTTTAGATATATGCTTACAAACATGCTGGTCGATTTGCTAATAATATAACATAATATCAAAACATAGCTAACAATGCGGACTTCCAAAAACTATCCGAGACGTAAAGGGGAATGACGATGACGTAGTGTTTGACATTGTGACTGATGAAAAATAGCACAGCTAGGAATGTGTGCTTGGATGACACCAAGAAATGGGGGATAAGAGAATGTTTTTGGTATTTGGCTTAAGTAAATGGCATTCCATTTCTGTATTTATTTTTTGACAAATTGTCATCAAGCAACACACGTGTGTCTTGTGGATCTTCATGGCCTCTCGGGATTCCATTTACGGTGTTTCAAGACTGTTTGCATGGACTCTTCCTAACTCACCTGGATAGTGAAAAAGACGGGCTCTGTGTGGATCTTTCCATCCACGAGGAAGCCATGATTGGTGCCATCGGAGGCCACAAAACTGAAGCGGTCAATCTGGGAGGGTCCCCCATTGTGTTTGTACGCCAGATCCATGTTGGCAAGCTGCAGCTGGGTGAAATTACTCTGGCCCATTGGCACACCCTGCAGGTAGAGCTGTCCATACTGCGGCGGCCGTGCTAGAAGGAAGTAGAGGTGGCTGGGTGGAGTGTCGGGATCGGAGAGGCTCAGAGCTTCTGGGGTCAGTGCTATCATTGAGCCGGCCGGGACCTGCAGGCCGGTGTTCCGGGACAGAGTCGGAAGCACACGGTCAGCTGTTTCCACGGTGATTTCCAGGGTGCCATTTCGGGTGGACAGGCCGTTGCTGACAACAAATCTAGCAATGAGAGAGGCAAGGCAGGCCTTCAGCATGTGTGTTTGCTCTCTTTTTCACCCCATCTACAGAAATAAGATGATAATGAACATGTTTTACTACAGAACATTCTCCAAGGGCACTATTGCTGACTACCTGAAATGCTTCTTTGGGGTTATTTGTGTTATATATAAGGTGAGTCACCTTGAATAAAGAAAACTCACATACCTGAAATTCTCTAGAATCTCTAGTGTTAATCCAGGTCTATTGAACCAGTAGGTCTATAAACCAGTAATATAGAAGAGTAACAGAAATGCAGATGCAATAAGCACATAAGGTCCTGTATATTTAGTCTTTCTTATAACCTAGTTTTTTTTCTTTGCTTTGCAGAAACTTTGTTTTCTAGAAACTTTTTCAAGTTTATTGGTTCAGTATATCAAGTTTGAACGTCTGTCTGTCATTCAATATCCTGATAATGTTGTTCCAGTTATTCCTACAGAACTCAATAAATAATTTCCTTCAAAAAAATAAAACCTTAATTGCCATTTTTGCTGTATGTCTCCAATGGCTAATATTACCTCATTTTTATTCTGCTTGTCACAGTATTGGTTTGCATGTACAGCTTTCATGGTGACATTCCTGCATGATGTAATTGCTGAAACACTAGCCTGGATATGAACATGACCTGGTTTAGCTATTACCCTGTAATATCTTTTGCTTTCCTCATTTGTTGCTCACCCATAGTAAAACAGTTCTGAATTGATCCCCAAGCCATCATCTGTACATGTAACAATAATCACCAAAGTGCCAGTGCTAAATGTCCTATACATGGGGTTCCTTAATCTAAGGTAAAAATGGGTAAAAAACAATTTAGTCATCTTTCATGAGTTCGTTTCTCTTGTGTTTTACTGGAATCAGTTACCCAAAGTTACCCATCCCTCATACCGAAAAGCCTCTCGGGGTGAAGTAGCTCTGTTGTCGTGCACATAGCACACCAAATGTGCTGCCACATCCATCTGGCTGAAAGTGGTGATGGCTATCCCTGGGTATCTGATGTACTCTAGGTGTCCGCTGGTGGGCGGTGAGGTGACAACATAGAGAAGCTCTTCTGGTTTGTCTGTGCCATCGACTGCCAGCAGATTGTCAGTTGTCAACACTACCCGCTCTCCCCTGGATGTCCTCAGGGGTTTGATGAATATGGCAATGTCTCCTAGGACCGTGGTGAGAAAAAAATGAAAAGCAAGAGTTTCAGTGGAGGGAAAAAGTGAAACAAAACCTTTTAAATGTTCCTCATTGAAGCTGAGGGTGTTTCCTAAGGGTTAACATGAATTCCTTCACCCTCAGGAAGTCCAATGTTCTGAATGAGTTGTCTTACAAACTTGACGTCTTTATCATGACCAGAAGCTGATTAATATGTAACTGACAGGGGCTACATAATATGGGTATCAGTCTGTTTTTCGTGTACTTTATTATGAAAAAAAGATCAGGATTAAAATGGCTTCATTATGGCAGAGTAATCCTTTTACATGAATAATAAACTATGACTGGTAATATTACTATAGAGAGAAATCTACTTTAAAATATTCTACATGTCTACATCCCCCTAGAAGCATCTCTGAATCTATTGTATAGTAACTTGCAGTTTTAATGTTGGCCAAGCATAGATGTTTCTTGACAATATAAGTCAAACAGGCCTTATGTTTTGAGCACTCACCCTTCTCCATATCCTTTATGGAGATATAAAAGTTCTGAGGTGGAGACCTGTTTCTTCCATCAAACAGGTAGAAGATGAAGAAGTCCTGGCTATGGGAGCCCATTGATCCTGTGTGCAAATACCTGAGAAGGTTCATGTCTATATCGTCCTGAGTGCAGTTCATCCCTGCTGAGACAGACACCCAGTCCAAGCCTATCTGAGAGCACCACAGAGAGAACAGTTAGGAGCATGAGAATCATCACATTGGAAAGCACAACAGTAAGAGTACAAGAGCAACAACATACACATTTGTATTATCCATACTTTTGGGCCACTTCACAACATTCCATCTGACACAGACACATTCCTACTGTATATATAATCAATCAAACTAACTTCCAGAATGGAAGGAAGCAAAGGTAGATACAGGTAATGAAAACAAGGGCTGAAAGTGAGATGAAAGCAGTGATATTTTTGTGTGACCAGTTAATATAATAGCCTTTTTACTTAATACCTGTCTTTAGATGGTTAAATGTTCTATGTCTGTTCTCACAAACGTAGGCCACTTACTGACCTTAAGCTGGAGTAATCCCTGTTTGGGTAGACTTTCAAACACATAGTGGATCTGATGTCCAGGTGTGTCATTGTCCTGTGCAAGCAGAACTGCACTGGAGATAATCCTGGCTTCTCCCATTTCTACTTCCAAACCATTATTCCTGCAAATGAAAAAAAAAATGCGTTAAAAACCCTCATATTCATACCTGAACCCCCATAGAAATTTCCAAAACAAAAAACAGCTAATTTTCTTATTACCGTATATGATGATAAAAATGTAAGAATGGCAAGCGGTAAAATGCTAGCACACTGTACAATTTATGAATTTTAGAGTGCAGATGTTTTTCGGGGTTCCTCTGTAAAATGTGGTTCATCAAGTGTTATACTCCTTCATGTAGGAACACCAAGAATTACGTTTGTTGTGTTAGGATTTGGAGTGGTTGTCATGCTATATAACCTTACCTAATGACTTGAGGCTTCTCATCATTGGTAGGAATAATTGTGACTGCTACATATTGTTGGATCTTATGTTTACCATCTGTCAGTTGAATGGCAAAACCATCAGACACACTCTCAGAGTCATCATGCATGTACATCAAACTCATTCCTAAAGGGTAAACAGCAACAAATTATAAGAGAATTTCCACACTGTTTCTAATAACAAACCGCCTGTTTTTTTCAAGTCTAATATATAAGCATACTGAAACACATAACATTTTTTCTCCTTTATCCTGTGGTCTCAATTCTTTGATGTGACACTGTTTGTTTGGCTTTTCAGGATATTTTGAGGCATTTGATACTGCTTTGTAGCTTTCCTATTCATTAGGGCGAAAGGAGATCCCAGATTTTCAGGAGAAAGAGACTTCAAAGAACAACAAAATATCTCCTTATCAAACATCTCATTAATGCTAAACAATGTATTCCTCTACACCTTTCAATCATAAAATATTTAAACTATTAATTTAAGTAAATTGTCGTTTCATCAATCAGTTCTGAAATTTTCTTTCTTTTATCTACTGTATTTCTTTCCTTCTTTTTGTTTTTTGCTTTGAGTGTGTGGAGGACGCTATGTATATATAACACATCTTAATTGCTCCTTGAAAGGGTCGTGACTTTAAAGCAACACACTGTGAAAACCATGCAAGGGCTTGGATTCTTGTGCAAGGCACTGTATGCCCAGGATTGGGTTGGGACAACAGACCGTGTTCCAGGTCTTTCATGGTGAAGTCATACACGGAGAGCTCCGTGCTCTGCTGGTCTGCGGTGAGCCTTTTGTAGCGTGTGATGTCATTTCCATAGATTCCATTCATGATCAATCCGTGTCGTGGCGGCTGAACAATGGTGAAAACCAGCTCATTCCGGGGAACATCAAAGTCTACTACATTGATTATGGAAGGATCCAGCTCTTTCATCTTTCCCTCTTGCACCTTGAAAGAAGGAGGATGAAAGTGAGTCAAGATTAACACTAAAGTGCTGGATTTGTGACACACTAATGGACATGATTTTCACCTATGTGTGAGTTATGCATACCTCTAAATATAAATGTGACTGTAAAACACAGGGCTTCGTCCTGAGTAGATTTTTAATTAGAGTTTTTCAGATATGAAAAAAGTCACCCTGTTTTAGAATATTTCAGATCATTATTTTTTCCATTGTGTTATTTGGAAAAAGCAAGTCATGGAACATACCTTGAACATTAAAATGTGCTGAGCTGCTAATGAATTGTAAAACTCTTTAAGAGCGTGAATTCTAAAATTTAGAGGTTTTAGATGTAAGAAAGCATATTTAAATTCTTGCAAAATACCATCATCATTCTATATCATGACAATGGGATATATTCCTTAAAAAGATGCCAGGAAGAACACAGGGGCTTTACAAAAACCTGCAAGACTGGAATTTCATCTTGAGAGCAAGGTTGGTGCACAGTTTAGTAATAAGAAGGCAAAGGTAAAGGACCAGTCTAGGCACCAATATTCTCAAATGTTTTCCATAAACCATTAATGAAATGACAGCTTGGTGTTGAAGATTTTCTTCTGACTTACAGTAATATTTCTTGCCAAGAAATCAGGGGCTTCATCATTAGTGGGGTTTATAATTACGTAGAAAGGGGTTTCAACAGAACGGTGCTTGCCATCAGTCACGTACAGCATGAACTGATCTGTGGTGGGCTCAATCCTCTGGTGACGAGATTGCACATAGTTTATGTGAAGATTCTTCACATGGCTCAAAGCAAAAGAACCTAGCAGACAAAACGTGTCGGGTTAGCCATCTTAACAACAGGTCATGTGCATACCTGTCACTGGTAAGCACTTCAGACTTCAAACAGATACACAGTAAGTAGTTAAGTTCAACAGCAAAACCAGTGAAACTGGTTAAAGAGGGGTTAAAAAAATTAAAACAGTTATGGAAAATGTACTACTAATTAAATATCTTGTTTGAAAATCACATATAATTGTATATACTGAGAAGAATTACAATGCAACATAAGTTCAAATGGTTTAATGCTTCTTAGTTTACAAAGGTTATGGAATGATTATTTAGTCCACAGTCAAACTGGATATTGAAACATTTTTAATGAAAACCAAATTATGACTGTGATTAAGTATTAAAACACTGAAAATGAACCTGTAAACTAACCAAGAATTAACCAAAGGAATCAAGTAACACTTTGAATTTAACAGTTTAAATCGTTGATGCTACCATCTTCCCATATCCTTTCCCATACCAGCTTACGAAGAACAGGATAGATAATTATTATCATTTCTTTTTAAACCATAATGAAAGTGAACAATAAATTCCAAAGTCAACTCAGAATATGAAATGTGTAATATCACACAATAAAATAATAGCAAAACATAATAACCACAATTAATGTTAGTAGCATATGTGAATGTTGTTGTTTTTATAGACTTACTGATGCTGATGCCCATATTGCTTTTCTCAAAGCCGGGACTTGGGAGGGTGTTCTCAATGTAGCCAAACTGTGGAGGGGAAACCAGGATAAACTCTAACTGCTCCAGAGGACTGTCTGCATCTCTGGCACTCAGGCTGTTGACAGTAATGGGGGCTGATCCTCCTTCATCAACAATAAACATCTCTCCTTTTTGAAGAAGAAAAAATAAAAAGCAGTCTGTGGTACTGTGTAACCTTTAAATCAAAGTGGCTCATCAATAATTGGGCACTAAACCATTTCCTGTGTGTAGCAGGCACTGGTCGATTCAATGCACTTTTCAGTGCTAGCATATACAGTAGTACCACTTCTTCAATCACACGGACATGAGATTTTCAAACAGGACAAGACACACAAGAAAACAAAAAGTATTTTCCTATGTTATAAAAAAAATAGTGAAATTACCTGTGATGATAATGGGAGGTTGGTTATCGACAGGAAATACAGTTATGTTGAGGTCATAGACAGGAAACGCATCATGAAGCCGAGATGCAAGTATGACTGCTAAGGGCCCCTCAAAACAGCAGCCCTGACTGATACCTGCTTCTCCATCCGAGACAACAAATGAAATGGTATCTGACTGTGGGTTCAATCCAATCTCCCCTCCTAGAACAAAATAACATCTGTTTACTGCTTTCTTTCACAAAGTTACACATAAAATGATAACAGTCAGTCGAGGATAACTACAGCACTTTAATGGGCAACAGCTCTCCAGTATTGATGATTATGGTCATTTGTTGTGCTGTGGAATGCCATATTTTGGATTGTGTTATATAAAAAGCTTTATGTACAGTACATAATTTTCTCTACTTTCTCAAGTGATTAACATGGTGATTAGTTCTAGATTTGAACTTCAAACCTCCTCGTTCTCCTGGGTGGAGACATTTTGTGTGATAAGAAGCAAAATTCAGATTTTAATTTGAATAGATAAGCTTTTGACTTTGTGTTTTGTTCAATTGTCTTAACTATATTGCTTCAACTGTTTCCAAACCAGAGTGTAGTGGTCAGAGGTGTGACACAGCCCTTATAGCTTAGATATGCAGGCGACTAGTTCCAAGTGTGGTTAATGCATGGCAAGCCTGGATTTGATTTTGGTCTTAAATTTGAGTTATTCTACTAGATAAGTAGTTTGGTGCAAATCCACCAGATCTTGACGCATCAAACATTACAAAAGCAAAGATTTTTCCCCAGACCCTCAGACCCTGTGTGTTTGCTAGTACCTGTATGTTTGTATGTGATGATCCCCGCAACTATGTCTTCCTGTACAAACCGATCCACAATATTCCCATTTTTACGCAAAACTCCATGGTGTGGCTGACGTGCGATCATGTAGCTGAGTTTGCTGTCATCACTATCACTGTCTGTGGCAAAGATGTATTCAGCAGTGATGACCACTTCCTCTCCCTCTGCACAGTCCAACACAGGAATTAGACCTGGCATTAATACTGGGGTTTCATCATTGACTGGGATCACCTACACACATAAAAACATTTTATTTGAACAGAGAAAGACATACATACTTTCTTTTTTATTATTTTGTTTTGAGATGGGAAGGCATGATAGGTTATCAGGGTTGCCAAATGTAATTGAATGACTCAAGCATGGAAGATATGTTTGTGAGTGTTCTCTGATGACCCTGATATAAGTGACAGAGATATGGTGTGTGAGTGATAATCAGTATAATTGATATAATTCTTCGAGGACAATAAAAACAGCTTGAGCTCACCTTAACTTGCACAGCAAAGTCTGCTGAATTAATGCCATCTGTAGCGATGAAGAAAATTGCGTCTTGCGTTGTTTCAGAACTGTCGTGGCGATATCTGTGGGGCCAAAACACACTTCACACATGTAATATTATCGTTCCAAAATTGTACTGGGCCTTTCTTTACAATATTATTTGTTGTAGCAGTGTTACTGCCTTGTAGCTTGATCTCAGAAGTTATGCAAGACTTGGCCAGGTCAGCACCAGGGTGTGATACTGCCATTAAAACCTAGGTTTGCTGCAGCAAGTGGTGTTGATCGACCAGTAGGTGGCGCTCTGACAAAGGCTGTCAATCATGACTAAATTCCATTCTGGGTTTGTACAATCAGCCCTAATGTTCCCACTGAATGTATTTATATTAAGTCAGTTCTTTGTTGTGCCAGACTGTCCCACAGCAGAGATTGCATTTCAAAATTGGTTTGTTTTGGCTTCATATCTCTCTTCACTGTTAATTTTGTACAAAGTAAGTGAAAAGATTTGCAAAGAAGTTCACATCAAAGGGAAATAATTAATAAATATAAAAGTTCTATTAAAAAAATTAGCATTACAAGAATTGGTATAATGGAATTCATGACATATATCTGACCTAACTTTTTGGCTTCTTAGGTCCTGCATTGTGAAGGTTTGTCCCTCTTTCATGGGGAATCCGTCCAGCTCAATCAGGCCATGCTGGGGCGCTCTCTTGACTTCCACCTTCAGTCTGTTCTCTGTGGAATCCTGGTCTGTTATCAGCAGGTGGTTAGCAGTTATCTGACACTGCCCTCCCTCCTCTACTGTCAACTGCTTTGCAAACACCTGTAAACACAATCCACAAATACAGTAGTGAAAAGACCGGCCCTCCCTTCTACAGTCTCATTAGGCTCCCACTTTCCTTTGAAAATACATACAAATCTTGCAATTCCTATTTTCATAGCAGCTAGCTTTTATAATTGCTCAGACACTCAACATTTTATGGATACAGGATTTCGTAGTATCACAGCTTTGAAGTCTAAATTTCCTCAAAAGAAAATCAAGCCACATTTAGAAAGTAAAAAAAGTATTTTCTGTTACTCTGATTTGAGTCTATATTTAAAGTCATTCTTTTAAAGCATCTAGATTATTCTTTTACTAACGGATTATTGGAATATTGAATTTTATTGGTATGGTTTCCAAAGGCTGATTTCTTTACACAAAGAAAGTCTGAAAACAGCCACAAAGCCAAACTGTAGAAGCCAATGTCTTGAGATTCTTGAAGAACTAGCTACTGTAGATGAGATTCTTAGATGAATTAGGTATGATCATTCAAATAACCCAGACAGACCAGAGCATCTCCTCTTATTTGTAACCTTTCTTTTCTCCTCAAGTTACAATCAACCTCAGTCATTTCTTTCAGGATTTTGAAGGTTTCAAACCAACCAGCCCTCAACTGCCACCGTCTAAAGCTTAAAACATTTCACTAGGAATATCAAAACCCAAGAATTAAGTGTACTAAGGTTAATGGAGTGTTTTAGCCACAGTAAAGCTTGGCTGAGGGCTGACCTCCTGGCCAGAGGATGAGGAAGATGGAACTGCAATGCAGAGTGAGGAGTGGCCAAGGGATAGGGATGGATTGGAGGAGGGATAAAAGATATATGTGAGGGAGGGAAGGTATTCAGGTGAGGAAAGGACATCAGGAGTGATTTCGAATTCCTTCCAAACCTGTGTTATAAACTCAGTTTAGGATTATTCAGTGTTTTATTGTAAAGTCACACCTATAAGGTAAACCTGATGTTTCAGACTATCAGCAGCCAGCAGCCATATGACTCTTCAACTCACAACTAGCCCACTGAAGCTAGGCAGGTGTGAGCCTGGTCAGTACCTGGATGGGAGACCTCCTGGGAAAAACTAAGGTTGCTGCTGGAAGAGATGTTAGTGGGGCCAGCAGGGGGCGCTCACCTTTCGGTCCATGTGGGTCCTAATGCCCCAGTATAGTAATGGGGACACTATACTGTAAACAGGCACCGTCTTTCAGATGAGACGTAAAACTGAGGTCCTAAATCTCTGTTGTCATTAAAAATCCAAGGGTGTATCTCGAAAAGAGTAGGGGTGTAACCCCTACCCCAAATTTCCCATTGGCCCTTATCAATCATGGCCTCCTAATAATCTCCATCTATGAATTGGCTTCATTACTCTGCTCTCCTCCCCACTGATAGCTGATGTGTGGTGAGCATTCGGGCGCACTATGGCTGCTGTCGCATAATCCAGGTGGATGCTGCACATTGGTGGTGGTGCTGGTGGAGGGGAGTGCCCATTACCTGTAAAGCGCTTTGAGTGGAGTGTCCAGAAAAGCACTATATAAGTGTAAGCAATTATTAATAATTATTAATTATCCAAGTGCTGCTCAATGAAGCACAATGGGGCAGACTAAAAAAAGGGCATGTTATGTTGAGTACAACTGTCCTTACATCAAAGCCGATGCTAATTCTAGTATCTAATGAGCTGAGCCTCATTTCTCTTGGAGTTCTCTCAGGATGACTGCTTGAGTCTCATGTCTGTAATACCTCAGGAGCCTGGTTATCCACAGGCAACACTGTGATGTTGAAACAGATGCCAATGACGGTGCCACCCTGTTGGTTCGTGACAGAGAAGACGAACTGTATGTGTTGTGAGGTGGGTCCAATATCTGTGATCGGAGGCATATAGGCAACTTTCATGTAGTTGACAGCATGCTGAAAAGAAAAAAAACAAACAAAAAGCCTGTTGGGAAACAGAATAATGCAATAACAAGAAAAATGTAAGTGTAGTCATTCACTGAGGTTCCAGACTTTCTGTCGTTGTAGTGGATAATTAAGAAACCACATCCCAAACCACACTGTAACAAACCAACCTCTGTGTTAAAAAACAAAAGAGTTTCCTGTCCATAAAAATAAAGGACAGTTTCTGCATCTTATTACATGTTTCTCCTTGATCAAATGTTTAAATCACTTTGCTTGCTAACGTTACTGTGGTTATAACCTAGAACTCCCAGTACATCACCATTTTAAAGAATGTTTATTTTGTACTTTAGAATAACAGTTTGTGAACATCTAAACAATGCTTTTGTTAATTATAAAGTTTTATCCGTCTTTCCCCTTATCTGCATATTATTATATACTGTACCTTTGTAAAAAGCTCTGTGAGCACCTGGAAATATGTGAATATAAACATGTTGTATTAAAGTGTGCAACAAGCTGGAGGAATTTACAGACATGAAACTGAACTTTGTGGGTGGTTTGTTGTTGTACTATTTTGCTTGTTTTTTCCTAATTTAAATCTGCAGATATAACATAGAAGAAATCCCCAATGCTTTCTTTGACATCCTGAACAAATACCTGAAAAAAATGCTCAAAAAGAGAATTCAGACCTGTGTGAATGACCTCAGCACTGGAGCGCTGGGATCTTTAGTGAATTTTGGAATGCTGTCAACCAGGAATAACTTCCCAGCGTCAGGTCTCCTGTTCAACAAAGTAGAGTAAAAAGCATAGCATAGATCTGTCAGTTACAGCAAAGGTTTAAACACTCCAGCTGATGAAGTAGCCAAACCAACAAGAATTAGAAGAGCAGACTCACCAAAGAGATGTAGGACAGTAGGCTTCAGCCCAGGATTAAAAATTAAATGGACAAGACTTATCTTACCACAAGGTGTACACATAGTAGAATGTAACTATTCAAGCATCATATTTTGAAGGCTACTGTACATTTAATAATTAGTCCTGACTCCTTTTAACCTATGAAAAGTTTTGGAAAGCTGTATTTCTGTTACTTGAAGAATAGGACGGCTCAGTTACATTTCCTATTATTGTGGTTAATTCTGATTTAAACATAAAGTCAACCAGAAACTTGAAAAGAGAGAAATTAAAGACCTTGCCAATACAGTCAAAATATCGCCTATTAAACCTTATGTGATCTGAGATCTGATTTCAAGACTCACCCATAAATGCTGGTGTAGAAGGGAGGTGTGGTTATGGTATAGGCCAGTTCCTGCTCAGGTGACTCAGGATCTGTGAAGTGAAGCTGCTTCTTAGTCAGGTGTATTACCTCTGTCTCCTTGACAACCAGATGCCGAGTAACCCCAGGCACTTCTTTTGGCAGTTGGTCATGGACAGGGGTTATGTGCACTACTACAACCTGCAGTAAAAAGTTTTACACCATAGGTCAAAGAGAGACACATTTTTGAAACCTTATCAGATTGCCATTTTCCAATATAATTATAATATTCGGGGACTTGCAAATAATAAGCTATCTTGCATTGAAAAAGAAGGAAAATGATGTTATGTTTCCTTGTTTCTCCACCAAATAAAATGAAAACGTGGCAAATGACATATGGGAAGTATTCTAAACTGCACAAATCATGACAAACCTGAGGCTCAGAGAGATTGGGTGGGTCATGGCTGTCCGAGAGAACAACTTCAAAGGAGTCCTCAAAGACCTCATTGCCAAGGTGGCGGTAATAAACAACTGAATTGAATAAGTCTCTTTGGAGGAAGCGACTGACAGGATACCCTGAGAGGAAAAGAAAAAATCACATTACCTTTCTGGCAGTATTCACAAAATGAAGGCCTCAATGGCTGAGGCCGAGATTTGGTGCTGTCTGTTGGAAAAGCAATCTGCCAGAACTGCCTGGGTCTGTTAATATAAAATTCTAATGATGGAATTTTACCCTTCTGTGATCCAGAAAAAATAAAACAAATGACAAACAGCCTTTAGCCAGTGAATTAACTCTGTAGAAATTATGAAGTCCTTCAGTTCTGAAGTAATGTAGTCAATTATGGTTTAAGTCAGAGAAGTGTCTATTTGTGGGACTTGGACAGGATTTCTTTCAGACCATGATACTCTTTGCCCCAAATGCACGATATTTACAGTGTCGAGTCCTTAGATTCCTCAGCAGAGAGCCTCACCTGTAAGTCCGGGCCCTGGTATCTTGGTGACTTCCCCAGCCTGTGGGAGGCGTGTAATGTTGTAGAGGATGTAGTCGTCACTGGAGTCTAGGTCGGAGGCCTGCAGTGTGGAGCCTTGGATAAGTGCCGTCTGCCCCTCACACAGCTCCAACACCACATTAGTGATGAGGAAAGGGGGGCTGTCATCCTTTGGGAGAATGTTAATGGGGAACTTGTGGCGGGTGCTGTGGCGGCCATCAAATATTCGAAAGCCAACAAAGTCTTTGGTGGTGTCGCTGTCATCATGGTGATACCGAACCACACCTGCCTTGATGTCATTCACGCTGAACATGAAGCCTTTCCCCCCTGTGAGTTGAACACAAAGCAGTGACAGGATTCCATGAGCTCATCAAGATTTATGATATTTATATTGTAATCTATGCTAATTTAAATTGCCTTTCTGTCAAAATAATGGACTATAGTGCTTTTTATTTGCACCCAGGGTTAAACACAAGGAGGTAGAGCTTTGAGATTGATGTGATTGGGCATAAACATGACAGAGTCTGTGCTTTTAATAAAAGAATATTTAAAAATCCTGCATAACACTTGTGTAAGTTCTTTTAACACTAAATGAAGATCCATGTTGGTAGTAAATGGGCAGACTGAGATAAAAAGACTCACACAGCATCATCTCTGTATATAATTTTATTTCTCCTTCACCACAATAACAAATAAACTGTTGTAGCTTACATTAACTCCAAATTATTATTTATAGAGAAGGTGTAAAATTACACTGTTATAGACATCCTGGTTTCTGTCTTTTAACCATTTGACACTAGCACAAAAAGAGTAGAGCCATTTTGTGGATTACTTTGTGAAAAAGATAGGTGTCAGAATGTCCCTTTATGAAGCCTAAATGAAATTATGGGATTCATTTGACCAAAATAATTACAGTAACATTACTTAAAAATCAAAACATGATTTTTTTTACTTTATGTGTCTTCACTTTGCTCCAAATAACATATAAAAAGATCTGCATATCTGGAATCTGGACTGTACATCACTTTCAAACATTCATAAGAACATAAGTAAATGAGAGGATTGAATGAAGCCAAAGTCATCATCAATAAATGGTCATCTATCTGTGGTCACTGTGGACAGGTCATATCATTTTCAGCTATTATTTACAGAATCATTTTAGAGATTGGTGTGGCTCCTGCTTAAGCTGTATAGTTCTATAACAGCTGTAGTTTTCACTGTTGCATAGTGAGACAAATGCCTGATTGCAACCTCTAATCTCCTGATTCAGTGCTGATAGGGAAACTACGAGTCTATACTCATAGAAACAACTTGACATTTATAGAACACAGTTAAGTTGTTAACTTAGTGCTGGTTGTTGGTTCGTACTGTCACTCAATTTCCTATGCAGCTCATAGTTGTTGGACTTTCTGCTACTGTACCTCTCACAGTAAGTCTGCCATGCTGCAGCCCATCTACCGTGATGAGACGCACGGCTCCCAGGTTATCATTGTCAACAATCTGGAGCTGCTCCCAAGTTATGGGCCGGGATTGTCCTTCCAGAAGACTGAGGCCTGGAAGAATCCAGGGAAAGAAGCTGGTCAGTTCACAAAGATCTGGTTCTGATATCACTTTGTAAGAAGACCTCTGGTGCTGTTCATCTGTATTCTAAAAGACGTCAAATGTAACTGAACCAAAGCCAAACCAATTTAGGAAGGAGAAAGATATTACTCTATTGCAAGAGTTCATTAATCCATTTTTAAAAAGCACCAATGAATTAAATGTACTTAGTTATCTATCTAACTCTGCTACTGAGTTACGATTTTAACATAGGGTGTGTGCCTTTTCAATTCAAGGTAGAATGTAAGAAGTTGTACCTTAATCAAAGATCTACAATGGTACCGAAATCGGTCCATGTCAAAGTTTAGTTCGATAGTCAATGAACACTAAGACTCACCCATATTCCAAGAAACCCTTGGAGCATTGGTGTCTGCGGTCCTGATTGATAAATGAACTGTAATTGGTGGGCTTTTCTCAAAGAAGAAATCATGGACCTCAAACTCCACCTGTTAAATAAGGAATGTAAGTTTATCACATTTCTATTAGATATAGATAATGTACTTAGTATACAAAATAACAAGTATATACCAATATTAGAGAGAAACATGAGAGTGTCACCAACATAGTGATGAAATATGTTCACACTTTGAGTGATGCTGAAATTTTGTCTATCAGCATTTGCCAAAAGTTTAAAGAAAGAACAATCAATAATGATGATAATAAGATACCTCATAGTTCCTGCGCTCAGTGTGACTGGTGTTTGGCGGCTGATAAGCAATGAGCACGTCATTGAGGTCCCCCCAGGTGAAGGAGGAGATGGGCTTTGTGTGATCCGACAGGTGGGTGATGTAGCCTTCTGGAGGCGGCTTGGTTACATTGAACACCAGTAGTGATTTAGGACTCTCTCCATCTTCTGCATCCAGGGTTGCAGTGCTCAGTGGCGTGAGAATGAACTGGTCTACTTCCAGGATGAACATGGACATGAAGGCGGCTTTAGGAGGCTGGTTTGGAACTGCGTTCTTGATGTGGACTGGGATCCAGGCGTGTTCTGACTAATCACACAACCAGATTTTAAATGATCTCAGCATTACAGTGTATTCACACATACAATTTCAGGTTTTTCACTCTTAGTATGTAAATATAAGTTGTTTTCTATTTTACAAGCCCGCCTTGAAGCCCTAAACCTTTCAGAATCATCATCCTGTTTCGTCTTTCATTTGTACCTAAAGCTCTTGAGCTGGCTATGCACAACCAGCTCTCTGCTTTCCTCTTGGTAAACTTGCTGCTTGAACTATCCTGTTTGATTTTCACCCTGCGCACTTGACACAAGCTCCTCTCTTCTCTGTTAATGATTCGCACCTCTGACGTCAGAGGGTCACTCTCCTGTAAAGGCTCTCTGGCCTTGGAATTTCTAGTGCTGCTCACACCTGGCTCTTCCTATCTCGCTGCTCCTGCCTCCGTCTCTCCCTTTACTTCTTTTGCCATCTTCACTCCCCCCTTCTACTAGACATTTTGTACTCTCTCACTGTTCTTCCTTGTTCTCCCACTGTTCTTCCCTGTTCAGTCTCAGTTTCAGCCCTGAAGGTGAAGGTGGGACAGAGAGTGCACAGCTACTGCAGCCCCTCCCCAACTGGTACACCTGTCATTTACAAGGCCTGAGGGAAAGGGGCAGTTCTGAACAGCCAATCAAGCCCATTCAGTGACCAGAGGGAGGAAAAATCTTGCATGAACACAGGGAGAGAAAGAGGAAGAACATAGTGAAATTCACACAGACAGATGGCAATGGCTAGAAACAAACCCAACCTTGAAGATGTGAGGCAGGAGCGCAAAGCACCACCATATCATCTGCCTTCACATATCCTTTTAAGTTGATTTCAAGTTTACTAAATTATTACACTTTGCCCAACAAATACTTCCATCGTTCCTACATCCATCTTTTTAAATAATGGAGCTTTGTTCTGCAGATTTGAGGGGGAAAACATATGTTTATTACCTGGAATATATATTAAAGGTTATGATTACTACCTGGATTATGTTCTTGCTCCTGGTGTCAGTGAGGTCAAGTCTTATAGCAATGTAGTCTACATTAGGAGAGGGTGGATCTAAGTGCTGATATCTAAGGCCTGTTACCAGGAAGTCATCACAGGGCACTTTGGTGGTCTGGACCAGTTTCAGTCCTTTGCGGCAGATCTCATCTTTACACTTGGCCCCAGCCCTGTTCACTGTGGGTAAAATAATACAATAACAGTAAATTCTTCTAGGCCATAAATCTTCTGGGCCATTTTATGATTTTAGACTTTATGGAGAGACACAATCCCAAAGAGCATACAGCATTAACAGACATCTTTACAGTTTACTGACAATGTAACATACTGGGATTTCAGTAAATCAGTTTAAACACTGACATAGACAGATCTCATAACAGAAGATTATAAGAATATAATCGCTGATTGAATTTCTTCCAGAGGGATGTAACACTTGCCATCTAAATGCAACATACAATAATCTAAGACAATGGCTCTTTGATGTTTCTTCTGGGTCACACAGGGTTATAACAGGATTTTCACCTCTGCACACAGATTATACCGTCCTTAAAAAAAAAAAAGAATCACTAAAGCTCCAGCCATACTTATTCTCTGTCGAATTGGGACAAAGCTGTGTGGCTCATCTCCTCTTGGCTCAACAAGCTCAGGCTCCCCAATCACTAGCTGCCCATGGGCAGGAAGATGTGTCTCCTGGGTGGCCACTCTCACTGTACACTCCAGGTTTGGCCTAGGGTCATAGTGAAAGGACACCACATTGCCGTCGAGAGTGTCCGACAGGCTGTAAAACTCAGGCACCTCCAAGGACTTTGGACCTAGCTTGATGATGTTGCAATCGGGTCTAGTCAGCTCTACGCGGAGAAGGAAGACCTCTGTGTGGGTCTCTGTTTCTGTAAATCTGAACAGAAGGTAGACTCATTAATCTCCTTTACTTTGTAGGATTTAAAGTGTTATTTGTAGCTTGTGGGTATTTCTAAATTTGGCTTAATGTGCTTGAACATATCATAAACTACAGTACTTGTTATTTTTCAGTATTAGCTTTTGAATCTTTGAGAAACCTGCTATGGACTTTCAACTATATGCTTTCTTTGTACATGGTATACACACACTGTACTTCTATGGCATGTACTGTGGCAGAGTTCCTGTGTCAATAAAATACATTGTATCTAGTTAAGATACAATGACATGAAGATTAATCCTCCTATTTGAGAGATGACAAAATACACATAGTCTAGATTTGCTTTTATGAGGTGTTACCTACACAGTGCCAGTGGATAATTATTTTTGTAGCACGGACAGGGCTTAATAGTTCTAAGGTCACTCACTCGCCTTCCTTTATTTAATTTTCACAAGTGAAATGTCATATATTTTCCTGGTAGAAATCACTGAGTTTGAATGTTTGTCCAGTTTAACCGTATATTTTCCTTCTGAGGAAAAAAATTAAATATGATATTCACATTTCAATATTTTCAAGCACCTTAAGTGGTGAATGAAGTGTGATTGACAAATGATTCAGAAAAATAATATTATTCAGTATTCAACATCAGATTAAATGTAGAAGATATTGCAGGTCTCCAGGACTGAGGTCACAGTCCTGTGAGCCAGAGGCAAGATGAAATTAAGTTATTAGAATTAAATCGTCTCCTTGATTTAACTTACCTGTAAAGCCGAAGCATGACTTGGTCTTCGTCCAGAATTGGACAGCCGTTGTGGACATATTTCACTTCATCTGTCAGAAAGTGACAGTCAAAGACCTGGAAGAATGTGTATCATGAAAATATCTACCAGGAAAAAAGGAAACAACAAAACCTGTCACTTCCATGAGCTGACATCCTGTCTACTGTGGTCTTTTCATAGGTTTGTACATATGGACCATGAAGAGAATAGTAAGTATGACTTCATGTATGGATTTACATTACCATTGGCCTCTTTTCTCTGGTGGCCAGGTCTGTATTAAAGGCCTGCGTTTCTGTTGAGGAAATGCCTTACTTACTATCTTGGGGCACCTCCGTAGTAGATAACAGCGTATAAGCACAAAAGTCTCTGGATTTTCACAGTGGTTTGTTTTATACCCACACCACCATATCACTGAACAGAAGAATGGAAATGTCAAATGTCAGGAGAAAAAAAAGTCTGTCACTTTGTATTCAATAGGATACAGACCTCTGTGTATTGCTTTTTTACATTATCCTTCATCCACTGGGGGAGTTTGGGCAAGCAGTAAAGTTGTGACTGTAAATTAAACACAGTACGAATAATGCCTGCATTCCTACACATTCCAATGCAATGAAACAGAACAGAAGTGGGTTGTAGCAGACAAAGGAATGTGCTTATGCTGGTGTCAACTGCCACACTTCAAAGGACAGCCTTGAAAACAACAAAATATATAAAAGCATGACACCCTTACATGGATAGCTAATGGACTAGGAACAACAATGTGTCTTTATCACAAATTATTTAAAATAATGTTTCCATTTAAAGAAAATGTACTTTCAAGAGAGAAGTCATGACCTGATTTCCAGAAAACATCAAGTTTGTAGCGCTAAATCATGTTTGTTTTTTTTTCTTGACAGAGAACTGAGAAGTCTTGTTACATGTCTCTTAGGTTGTACCTGTTCCTCCTCCTGACTGAATGACCTATTCAACAACTCTGCCAAGTTAGCAAGTCTTACATTCTAGTATATAGCTCTTTTACACTCCACTCAAAGCACTTTACAGGAAAAGAGGACTCTGCTCCAGTACTACCTACTTGAATGATGCAACAGCAAACAAACTGCGCCAGTACACTCACTACACATTAGCTACCAGACAGGAGGAGAACAGAGTGATGAAGCCCGTCATGGAGATTATTAGGAGGCCGTGATTGGTAAAAGCTGAGTGGAAATTTGGCCAGGACACCAGGGTTAACACCTTTACTCTTTTTGAGAAACAATCTTGGATTAATGACCAAAGAGAATCAGGATCTCAGCTGTACATCTCATCCAAAGGATAGGATAGTGTCTTTTTTACAGTATAGTGTCCCCAACACTATAGTGGGGCATTAGGACCCCACAGACCGCAGGGTGAGAGCACCCTACTGGCCCCACTAACACTTCTTCCAGCAGCAACCTTAGTTATAGCAGGAGGTCTCTCATCCAGGTACTGACCAGGCTCACACCTGCTGAACTTCAGCTGTGAGTTGTAGGATGATATAGCTGATGGCAAAATAGGAAACACAGGCCTTCTTCTATTAACACATCTCAAGTATACACTCTACTTATAGTTTCTGATACTGAGACAAAAGGAAAATGATGTTTGGATAAATGAATTGTGTTTAATTATTCATTTTTAATATATAGTACTGATATATAGTACTGATGGACAACAAAAACAGCACTCAAGTCTAATGGGCGTAATAAAATATTTTAAACACTGAAGAAGAAAAAGGCTATGGCAAGACTTTGAGATTGTTTTCTTGTCTCTATTATTCTAGTTATTCTAGTATTGTGGGGTCTTGCTTGTCCACTTCAGGTTGGGCATACAGGAACAGAAAAACCGTTGGCCAGAAAGCCTTTCTCAGTGTACAGTATTGCTAAACTGTAAGGGTGCTCTCAAATTGTACCAGCAGTGATCTTATGATAAAGGAGGTCCCCTTAACATATAGCATTAGCACTCTTCTTCTGCTCCACTTGCACGATGCTTACGATGACGTGTGCACACTTGCTTCTGTCATGTTGGTCAAAAGCATAACAGCAGTCATCAATGAGTAACACAGGGCCATTTTCTCTTTTGCTACCTCAGATACTTTTACAAAGAGACGTTTGTCTCTTAGCAGCATTTTACCCATGATATAATTCTCATGCAGATGGCAAGCGACAGTCAGTCAACTGAAGCAGGTGGGTTATTTGTTTTATGAAGTTTTCATACTTTATCCACTGCAGTCTGACAATGATGATGGAGGTGGAGGATATGGATGTGATGCAGTCCTCAACCTCTATGTGAACTGTGTTCTTTCCAGGAAGGGGAGTGCCCCTCAAAGGGTTGTCTCTTGGTTTATGGACCAGTGTCATGATTGTTGAAGATTGATAGATTGCTGATCTCATTCTCTGGGTAATTTCTCTCATATGAGAAGACATTTAATCATGCTCATGACAACCAGGTGATCTTCATTACTCGAATAGGACACAGTTGTATCTTTCAGTGTCTTAATACTAATAAAAAGCATGTGTTTCTGAATGTCTTTTTATACTGATAGAATCAACAAATCAAGTCAATTTTATCTAAACCTTAATAGGAAAAATTAAGCACCTGGCATTTTGATTAAATTCAATGAGTTCAGTGGGCTCTGTATTTTAGCACAAGGAACAGTGCTACTGAAACAATATAAGTAACATTATGTCTTAATCTTATTGATGCAAACATAGGGTCATATTCATAACTTTTGTGCCATTTTAATTCTACCACCTGAGTTCTTAAACAGAAAATACCAAATTCTAATGTTACAAAAACAGTTAAGTCAGTTTTAATAAGTCATAAACTACTATCCAAAGATTAGTGCCACCTTCCTAATTTTTGTGGGTCAGGGAAAATCTTTAGGTATTTATTTAAAAGTTTTATTAATGCAGCCCTTAGCTTGTTTCAATTTGTGTTTCTCTTGTTCTGTGATCAGCGGTCTGAATAAATGAACAAGTTGGAACTCAACAGAATCGTGTTCTGGCACAGAGAATTGATGCTGCACTTCACCGATCTGCTGGCATCAAGCCTGCTGCGGAAACTGGGGCTGAAGTCATACTGTATATTATAAGGCTGTTGAAAGGTGCACCTCATTCCAGAATGATTTAGTACAGTACAAATGGAGATTTGTTTCACTTGTATGAATGTTTGCTAATTTTCATAAAAGTCCTTACAAGAGCCAAACAAGAACAAGAGGGGCAAATAGCAAAAGGCAGTGCAGTCCAAAAGGATATTTCCATTACTCAGATACAAAAAGCAAAATGAAAGGTAGACCAAGCACATCTCAGATGTAACCAGCGACAACTTATGAAGATGTTGGCAATATGCCTTGTCCTGAAGAATATAAACATAAAAAATGCAATAATTCAATAGATAAATTAAAGTCTCGTCTAAGGAGTTAGTAGTGAGTTTATTTTAAGTGTGCCTTATTAAGAACATGAAGTGGCATATTTATGACTAAATAGAATGTAACAAATCATGACCTCCTCCACAAATTCACATAAATTAGAGCGATACTTTATTCTAAGCATCACTTTTTTTATTTTCTTTTTAGTCTTTCCTCTGTAATGAATCTCAGTGACATGTATTCTGGAAAGGAACAAGTGATAGGTTTATTCCATGCTGAAAAAAAGAAGAAAGAAAACACAACGTTTCTGGCGTGGAGCCTTCTTCAGGTGTGAGGGTGAACTACTGAACTACTATGAACCACCTGAACTACTATGTATTCTGGAAGTCCAGCATAGGCCCCTGGTCATTGACAAAGAAGGAGCATAAAAGGCTAAAGAAAATATCTAGAGCCTAACGAGCGTGACCATCACCTACAATTGTTTTGGCCTTATTGGCCATTGTTTTCTGTCACCGTTTTCAGAGGAGAAGATGATCAAGTTAAAAAAGAAAAAAGGGAAATAGATAAAGAACACATATCCTTTTTAAAGAAAGAAAAAGAACAAACCATGAGAAATGAAGTAAAGACAGATTACAGTACCAAGTGCAGCAGTACCTGTGGTGTCAGTGTTCCCACTCTCTGGGTGATGGGCTCGTTGGTGATGACCTCCACTTTGCAAGCATCCTTCTCTTTTGGGATATCAAACTGCAGGTCGTCCTCCTGCAGGAATGCTGACTGACCTTTCATCACCTTCATCCCTCTGTTGACTTTGACCAGAGAGCCCTGTGCCCACTGTACAGCACACAACAGGATCACCAGTTCCTCCATTCTCCATGTCACTTTCATCATGTTGAGATCACACCCCGATTCTTCATAAAACAGTGGGAGAAAGGATAAATATCCTTCTGCTTAAAAGGACGTCTTTCTGCTCGGTGGTTGAGGAGGCAATGTGCTCACATGTGCTTGTGATAAAAAGCCGTTCTTCATCAGGGGTTGAGTTTCAAGGCTGTATCAATAAATATGAACTTCTGTGGAATCACTAAGTCTGCAGACGATTTGGCTTTGTTGGTATTTTCACTCTTAACATCCTTCAGAAGTCCAGAAAAGTGGGTATTGCTGAAAAAGGAAAATAAATGCATTTGTCACATTAGAAGTTCAGCATGGTTTCTTGCATAGAGTTTTGCCGTGAGTCACTGGAGACTCACTACAGACTCAAGAAGGATCTGGACATAGTAATAAAGTAGCAATAATAATTAAAATGTGATATAGTAAATAGTATAATAAATAATGTAATAACATAATGTAATAATCTCACAGAATCAAAAACTGTTTTTTGCAAGCAAACACACATAACCATATTGCACAAATGCTTTCACAAACCCTTCATTTCACAATTATTATTATTAGCTGAGGAGATGACTTAAGCCAGGGAAAGTATAGAATAGAAATATACTGTATATACAGTATTCATCTATTCATAGATTCATACAGTGCAGTCTGAGGTTAATTTAATTCAGTTGAGTTATACAGTATACTAAAACTTATTAATATCTGTATCTCAAAGAAAGCTAAAATAGAATTAATATTTACTTACGATGGGCCTATTACCACCATTATCTTGATCTTTGATCACCCTAACTCTGTCACCCTTAAAATGATGAAGGAGTGTCAAAGTCAAGGACAGTGTGAGCTCTTAAGCGTGTCACATGTGCTTAAATGGTAAAAGGATATTTTGCAGCTGCAACATTCAAGGTTAGTGATAAAATGCTTAGATATATTTGAAAAAAACTAAATCTTTCTAAAACAAAGCCTGAAAGCGTCTGTCCAGAGAAATATTTGTGCAAGTGAATTTGAACTGAAAACATGTCTAAAATCAGAAGAGTGAACTGAACATTCTCAGAAGCGTGGAGGCAATTTTGTGGTTTATTCAAACTGTTTTTTTTCCCGGTATACAGTATTTTCTGTTTTTTTATCTCGTTAGGATTTTATGTATACACTTTGAGAACTCTTGCACTATTCTTGCAAGACATTTACCTTCATGATAACCTTTTTTCCTGTGAAGTAAAACTTCACAATAATCTTTTTTACAACAGGGACTTACAGTTTTTACCTTTCACAGATCGAATAATCGAGTGTGGTCAGAAGTATGGATATGGGTCTCAACACACTAATATTTTGGGAAAGGTATTCTGATTAAAAATTTATTCATAATTCATGAACATTGATTTCTACAAATGAAATTCAATTTATTTTTATATAGCGCCTTTCACAATAAGGTTGCCCCAAGGTGCTTAACAATGCAAGTGACCATACATGTTGTCAATACAGAACAGAAGACCAGAAGACAAGGGAGTAGAGGAACCAAAAACTCCTTAATAAGGAGAAAAAAAACTCCAGCAGTCCAAGGTCAACTGGTTGCCCAACCCCTCTGGGCATGCTAACATTATATAATTAAAAAAAAGGAAATGAATGAAGATTGTCTTGATCTTTGCATGTCTGTTTTCAATTCATTCAGACCTTCAATTCATTTAAATTGAATTGTCAGACGTTTTTTAAACAGCTGGTGCAGTCACATATTATGAAGAATACAACTGCCTAAAATCTGATACCTCCAGAGATACCTCTAGAGACCAGAGAAGGACAACTGCTATTTCAAACAACTGCAGCTTCAAACTGGAGCTCAATGGACAGCTAAAACCTTTGTGTGGAGTTTACATTTTTTAGGAACACAGAGAATTCAGTTTTTGTCCACTTCTGAAGAATCAGAGTATATATCAAGTACTGTATGAGATTCAGTTAACCATCAGCACTTGTAATGGAGAAATTAAACTGCTCAAAATCTCTAAAATGGGAATCGATAAACAAGGACTTAGAACAGGCTTTGCCACCTAGTACTGCACAACTGCATTAATTGTCCAATTGTATTTGTCTGTCTTCCATCACCTTCTACAGCCCTGTTCGTCAGCCCCCATCCTGTGGGACCCTTGTGTCTGCTAGTTTTCATTCCAGCTGTGATCTACATTACTGATGTTAACTGACGTCTTCAACTGATTTCTTGTTTGGGCTTTACTTGTGTCTGCGCTTGTGCCTGAGTTTCAGAAATACCCAATTTCAAGTATATTGTTTCAAACAACTTCAGTGTATCTCCACTTGCCTACATTTATTTCTGACTAAACAGAACTTAATGAGCAATCTGTGAAAAACACAGAGACACAGCGAGGAATGACAATGTGTCAAATTCTTCCACAAAAGAGTGGGTGAATTTTGCCTTCTTCAGAAGTCCAATTTATTAATTTCCACCTGACACCTGAATGAGGGAAGCCCTGAAACATAGGAATAAGAACAATGTTGGTAGCAATTACCAATCCTAATCATTTATCTTGAAAGATTAATGCAATTTTGTAACAAGCCACAAATGGAAAATTGATCCATTGCACTACAGAATTATTTTCTACTGCAGTTAGGCCAAAAACTAAAACACAAACCAACAAAAAAACACTGTTGAATGTTTCCATATTTTGCATACTTCAGAAGAACAAACTTTCAAGGTTATGAGTTTCACAGGCCTATAGACAGGAGTCCTACAAGTTTTACATGTAGTTTTCAATCAGCAGCTGATCATTTCATATTTAAACAATTAGTTTATTTAAAGCAATTTAAGTCAGAGGTGAACAGGTCAGAGGTGGAGGTGAAACCAGATGGCTCTGTGGGTTTCCGTACAGTAGGGCTTCCATCCCTGCCTTAAGAGATAAGAGGCATGACAGCATGAAACACTTCATCAGTAACTACAGGCAGAAACAATTCTGCTTTGTCACACTGATGTGCACACATTCACAATGCACATTTACAGATTAATTATAAGACAAGCATTACTTTTTCATAAAATATTATTTTATATAGGAATCACACAGAATAGCAATGACAAATTACAGACAGGTCAGTTAAAATGTCTTTTTTGCTATGTGTGTCATAATAAAAAGTATCACACTATTTCAAAGGAAGCACACTGAATATGAATTCCCAAGTTAATTTGAACCAAACAGTTTCAAATCTATTAGTTTTTAACCAAGGAAAATCAAACAGTAAAAAGAGTAAAGCATACATTTATCCAGAAACATAATTGTCACTTTCATTGTGTATAACTCCTGAGAATAAACAGCTGAAATGACAGACATAGCAATCGAGAGAGGTTGTTTACTGATTCTTCTTTACAAACTTGTAGGTTTAAAAACTGTTTTATTGTATTTTCTTTATAAAAAGATAATTTCCTGTAAATAAATACAAAGTTCCTATGATTCCATTATGAACACCACTATCAATCTAAGATATACATTTTATACAGCACCTCCTTTTATTTACTGTTATTACATTATTATATTAAGCAAACATGACTGATACCACTAATTAAAAATAATTTGAAAGAATCATAAATAGTAATTTGTGCTTTAATCAAATCAAAATTGATCGGCTGAGGATGTTGCAGGATAATTTCTTCACCTCAGTAAGAGAGCAATTTACATATTGATTTGTTAGAAGATTGTTTTAAAATGCCAGTGTAATGTCTTATTAGTGATAAGTGATAAACAAGACCACTTCAAGTATTTTGCTCCAGGGGGAAGTTTTTTTCAAAACAGAGCCCATTTTAATGCAAAATTACTGAAAAATACTTTTAAATGTTATTTTTGTTTTACCACACCTATTTTAATCCTCTGCTTGACTGCCACCTTTAGAGTTTTACAAATAATGTTGAACAAATTAAGAGAAAGATATCCTCTGGAGCAACATGATTTGTTTCTATTTAATTCTGAGCAAGAAAATTGTCAAAGGGTGTTTAAAGAACAACACATAAACAGAATGATAATAGTAATAATTAATTTACTACCTCACAGGAACAGTCCTTGGGTAAAGTAGGCGAGTTCAAGATGTAAAGAACACAAGGCAGTAAGTTTTAAGTGATCTAGAAAGGCAGTAGACAGAGAAAGAGAGACATGAAGAGAGGGGGTAGCTCTCTTTTTAAACCTCCTTTGTGCTCAACTAAACAGTATGAAAGAAAAATGTGCAGCTCTCAATTTCTGTCAGACTTGACACTATCCAGAAGGCTGACGTTTCAGTCCTCCCTAAGATAACAGGGCATTCTGAAAATGCTTGGCTTGTTTATAATCACACACACAGAATGCTGTTCCTACACTATTATGACTTTCTGGTATATTTTAACAGTTGTTAAGATAAGACCATGCCTTTATATGTTATAATAAAAATGCAACAAAGTACCATGGTCTTTCTAAAATAAAAAAATGAAGAGGTAATTTCAATTTTCTTTTGTTGTCCATCCGTGTTTTAAAGCATCCAATGAGCAACAGAAGACATCTCTAAAATGCTTCTTTTTTCTAAATCTTTAAAAGTGTACTGTATGTTTTTATGACAAAAGAATTAAACATACATTTGGATACAACAGTGTGCAGCTGTGACTTTAAAAAGTGATAAATAATCACTTTACCACAAAATACCACAATACAATACAAAAACCACATATTTTAGTTATGTTTGAAAATTAACATGATTTCATGAAGAGTTTGCCTGGTCTGGGAAAAGAAAAAATCATTAATTGTAAGTAGCTTGTCATCTTGATAACTCAAAATCTGTTTTGCTTCATTGCAAGTGAGTCAAGGTAAACGTTAGCCTTGCAGTTAACCCTGCAGATCTTAGAAAACTAGGTCTTATTTCTGATATGAAGCAGACAGAATAAACGCCAGGTAGAGCTCTCAAAGAGTAGACTCAATACCGAGCAGCCAGAAGCAGGTTTGAATGGCTTAAATACTGCAGCCGGCCACACGGTAGGGCGTCTGGTGCTGAGTTAACACGTGCGGCGGAGCTTATAATTATCGCCCCGGTGTTGGCACTGGTTAGCTCTCTTGGGGGCTGATCTGGGCAGGTTGGCGGTCATCGTGACACTTGAGTCTTACAGAATTTGAGACGTCTCTGTTTATTTATTAGGACTTTTCCCCTCTTGTCCTTTGGACAATATTCCTGGCTTGTTACCAGATACCTCTTCTTGTGCTCTCTCTGCTTTGAATGAGATGTGCTTTCATGCAGGCCTGTGAATTATCAGAACTTGT